TTAATTAACCCCTTTTGTGGTTGATATTTGCATTCAAATGTCTGGAGATCTATAACTATATAACTTATTATCCTTAGATCTGAAGAGAGTTCTTAGATTCTTTTTGGGAATTATTATTATAAACCTACTCTTATAGATCTTCTTTAATAAACTCCTTTAATAAAGTTAATATTGCTCTCTCTGAAACCTCCAATTTAGATAGTTTCTTAGATACCAAGAAAGTAACCCTCAATGAAGGTCGTCATAGCCAATTTAAACTGTACTCTCGCCGGTACAGTCGACTCCTAATTTCAGCTGCTTAGTGTGTTTTTCAGCCGGAAATCGCCAGCAATTGCACGTCCCATGTGCGTGTCTTCCAAAATGTGGCTGTCTTCCACTTTGGGTCTCTCATTTTCCTGCATTTTCCGACGCTTCTTTCGCTCTTCTCTCGTGAAGACCGGGAATGCGCTGTGGAATAACAAATAATTAGCATTAACCACGCAATTGAGTGCAAGAGGCAGCAGCGGCGGTGCTGCAACTGCAACATGTGCAGCAACTGCAGCGATAATACATTTTTGGAAATGTCAACAAAGCCGACGAGGAGCGACAACAAAGCAAAGAGCAAAGAGCAAAGAAAAATAAAATGCCAATGAGTTGGTGGGGGGGGGGGAGTGGGGGTAGAAGACTGAGAAGAAGAAAAAGAACACGAAAAAGAACGAGAATGGTGGGGGGGATCCCACTGGAGAAACAGCGATAGCAGAGTCGCCATCTTGACTTTTAAACAGAAGGGGAAATTGGTAAAAACACAGCCAGAACCGAACTTGCTGGAAGACCGACACACACACACACACATACACACTCATACTCAGTTGTTGCATGCCCCTTGGTGAGGCGGGGGACTTGCTGCGAGACCCTACGCCAACAATAGTGGAGACCACATCACGATTTTGGCTTCGATTGTGGCGGCGTTCGAAACTCAAAATGCTGGCCACGCCGCAATCGGTTGCATAATTGCGTGCCACGACAGCACGGCGATCAACGAACTCCAAGAAGCCAGTCAGACTCTATAGTATGGTGTTATATAATGTCCAATCGAAATAGTTATTAGTTATTAATTTCCCATAAACCCAACCCCTCCCTGATGTTGCAATAAAACTGCACATCTATGCCACATCCCTGTGCCACATAAGTTTTATGCAATTTATCTCATTATTGAGTGTCCCTAATTTGCCCGCAGAGGTCAACAAGTCAACACAATGCCTTGACCGTCAGCCGAGGAGGAAGGACCCGCAGCATTCGATACAATGCCATCGAAAGTGAAACCAGGATCGATAGCCTCGAGACTGACACACGCTGTCGTCCTTTTCGGGCTCGAAACAAAGGACTCGAAATGCGACAAATTCAAACAGTTTTTGTTTGGTTTTTCGTTTTTTTTCCTTGGTTTTTGTCTTTTTTTTTTTGCTGTTTTGTTGAATGCATCATGTTGCTTTGTGCGAGTCAAAGTTCCCAGACGTCTATTGTAATTGGATCCTTTTTTTGGAGATACATAGGATAGGACTGAGATAGATCCCTGCGCGTGTGAAGCGCGACGAGTGCGTCTCTGTATACACTCGAAGCAGACTGGTATTCCACGTTGTTTATGGCGGTGTCGCGTAAAAAACTGAAAACGAATCCTGCCAGGACACCACCATCTCCACCCGCACCTTTGAGGGTCGCTGGTGATGGCGTACGGCGTGTAATTTATGCCAAATATGATATCAGCTATAGCCGAATGTTTGTCGTGGGTGTTTACAGACATCACGTTTTCCCTGTTTTCGTCCTTTCTCCGTTTTCTCTGTTTTCCCCTGTTTTCTCTCCATTTCTCCGCGTGTTTCCATATGAAAAGTGACAGTTGCAGATCATTCGAATGCGATAAGAAAAGTCTCCCCCCAAGCCACATAGTTTCTGTTTTCCGGGCAAAAGATCGTGGAAACTCTTAAAAATGTACATGTAGAGAATTATTTTTCTTTCAAAAGAAATGTCATGAATTAGGTCTAATCTTCAAAGGAATATTTCCCCACTTTTCAGATGCAAAAACCAATAACGACATAATCTCCATCCATTTAATCTCTATGCCCAGAAAAATGTCTTTAATTTAATTCATTTTTTTTTTAAGGAAAATGTGCTTCTTTCTGGGCAGTTAACTATTGAAAAAATGGCCACCCCCTGGAAACCGCAACGCGAAAAGCCAAAAAATTCACTCGCCCCCTTAAGAAGAGCTGGAAAATGTTTGCAGGAAACAGGAGCTACGAAGCTCCTGTCGCATTTTGAACGCTTTTTAGCATAAACAACAGGGAGCAGAAGGGACATCTGGGGGGTTGCTAAAGGACATAAATACAAATACATAGTACATATTTATAGTAAGGCTTCCATGTCTGGCACAAGTCTGCTGCAGCTTTGCCTTTATTTTCCGGTTTTTTTTTTTCGTTTTTCGGTTTCTGGTTCAACCCCTGGAGGAAGGCTACAAAAAATTTGCATGTTGGCCTGTCGCCTTGTTGTTGCTGCGAAATTGCCAGATACAAGGACACTCGCACACGCACACAAAATCCACTTTTAATAATGCACAATGCGTGTGTGTGCGTCAGGGCTCGGCAGAGGGAGGGTGTTTTGGGGTGTTTTCGATAAGTACTTTACGAGAGACAACCCTCGTTTTGCGGATTTTTTTATGTCCTGACCGAGGCCGAGGCAGTGGCAGTGGCAGTGGCAACATCAAAGTTCATATCCGGCTTCCTGTGGTGGTGGCTGTTCCTGGAAGGGGGTTGGGACGTAGCATTGGCTGTTCTTCGCAAATTGCGAAATGCAGTGACTCCTCGAATGGATTTTTGGCGAATCGCATTGGCGATTTTGCAAGTTTGTGGCAGATATTTTGGCACGGGCTAGGGGTGGTTCCAGCCGAGGGTGCCGGGGGAGGAGCTCAGGATTGGCGAAAACTATTGCCGCAAATAGAAAGTATCTTTCTGCCTCAAGGACTCTGAGAGCCAATAAAATTTGCAGGACAAACCAGGGGAAGAGTATAACAGAAAAGTTATAGAACTGGACAAGGATCTAGAATCAAGAATTGAGGAGAATCCATCTCGTAGAAACCCCTTTTTAGAGAAGACCCTTTACTCTAAGACCCTTTACCAAATCAAGAAAGTCTTCTTAGACATAATTTGCATAATAAACACGAAGAAATCAAAGGGGTCCTGGCTGCAAATATGCAAATGACCAAATCAATCCGAGAATAAATGAAAATCGATCAAAATTGATTTGTTGCCCGGTGTGCGGAAACCCAAACACCGCACCCCGGAATCCCCGGAAAAGTGAGCAAGGACCTCTCTATCTGTGGCCCTGCACCGCCGAAGGAGTTGTGCGGCGAGCGTGAGAAAGTCTCCTTTTTGCAAGGAAAAATTTACATAATTTTCCAACAAAGTAAATCGCATGCACATCTCATGTGATGTGGACCTTATGCAAATGAGGTGGTGCCATCTCGTTTCAACCCCCTGCCGACCGGCAATAAACTCAGGTGTGCGAGCGTGTCGGCATGCTGAGAGCGAGGCGCCGTCCACTGGGCCGGTAATTAACCCCTGTCTGCCCCTACCCCTTCCCCTGCCCCTGCCCCTGCCCATGTCCGTGTGTTTTCCCATTTTCACTTTCGCTTGCATTTCGCAAGGAGTTTCTTATGCAAATGAGAGTGCATCCTCACCCTTTCGTACCGAGGTCCTTGCGTCTTTTCGCCAAGTGACGAACCTATGCAAATTATCCTTTTTGTGGAAAACTGCGTGATCTGCCGCTCCAGTTCGACTGCTGGGTGCCACAGGTACACACACACAGGATCCTCTATGCCCGAACATCCTTTGCGATCGTGAGAAAGTTGGAAAATTTGCATAATTTTCCGTGAAAATTTTGCCGACTACGTGATCGCTGCAAAGACAGCCCAGATCGAGGAAGGATCCTGAATTTAAATGATCATAGATCGCGATTTTCCTCTTCCATTATCTTGGCATTTCTTTGTGGATCTGTGTCAATGACTTTTTTGTGAATTTATCTTTAAATTGGAATTCAGTGATTAAGGGGTCTTAATATTAATTCTATAGGATGCGAATAAAATAAGGTCACTTCCTTTCAAAGATATATTCACTCTCCTTCGGATATATATTCTAAATTAAGCGGGAAGGGGCTATTTTTCAAACTTTGACCCCTTATCATATCCATAACTCAACCAATTCTGAACCGATTTGTATGTCATATACCTTAAAATACTCGTAGTTCTAATATCTTTTTAAATACAAAAAATATTTCGAAAAAATAGAAATTCAAATTTTTTCAATTTTTTACGATTTTTGCTGATGGTACCCCTTACAAAATTTACAAAAAATGGCTCAAATTTTTTATTGCTAGATTTTGATAGAACTTTGAAGTTCTCAAAGAACTGAGAATGGGAAGGTATGACTTTTTGAAATAGCCGAAATATGTCCAGAAGAATCTCACAAAAATTCGCAAGGAGTTTCTTATGCAAATGAGAGTGCATCCTCACCCTTTCGTACCGAGGTCCTTGCGTCTTTTCGCCAAGTGACGAACCTATGCAAATTATCGACAACAGGACCTTCTTCTAAGGAATTTATCTCTATTTTCGTATATTCTCCAGCTCATATCTTCTTTAATTTTTATCAGATTCAAACATGCCATAACTTAAAAGACTAGTAGATTTAATCTCCACCAAACTGCATTAAAAACTGAGAAAGTTTTTAATAGAACTTTTGTCTATTTTTATGATGTACCCTCTTACAAAAATGTAAAAAAAATGAGTCCGATTTAAACTGGAGTTCCTTTATGAAAAATTTAAAGTTCTGGAAACCTTGATAGCAGGATACTACAAAGTTCTTCGATCAAATGAGATTAAATAAAGTTATAAGGATTTAAATACCAGAAAACATCATTCTAGTAATTCAGATTCATTTTCAGATTTATTTCTTCGAATATTAGTAATAATTTTTAAGAATTCACATTCCATTGGCCTGCTCCCCTTTACCGTCGGAGGAGCCACTACTAGAGCTGGACCTGCTGCTCGAGCTGGAGCTAGACCGGGAACCCGAGCTGGAGGAGGAGCTTGATCTTGAGCTCGAGGAGCTGCGCGATCTGGACTGGGAGCCCTTCTTGGAGTCGGGGCTGCTGCTGCTGCTCATCCGGGCATTCATGAGGACAGGGGTCTGGGGTGGGACGGGGTCCGGCCGGGGAAGAAGCGGCTGCGACTGGCACGGCCTCTGTGGGCTGGGGGGACCCGAGGAGTCATCGCTAGAGTCGCTCAGGTTTCGTGCCTCCCCCGTTCCATAAAAAATTTTCTGTTGCTGTGGCTTTGGTGGCTTTGGGCGCGGAGGTGCCCGTTCCCGCTTCCGGGCCGTATTGGGTTGCTTCTTCAGGTTCTGACGGATCATGGGAGCAGCGTTACGGCGGCGACTCTTGTTCAGGAGCTTGGAGATGCCAACCAGCTGGGTCTGGAGGTTGCGCTGGAGCTCGCCCTTCTCCGAGGAGGCCATATCCCGCAAGTTGAGCTTGCTGTGCGCCCGCATCGCCTTCGCCACGGCCCGCTTCATCAAGGCGAGGGTGTCCGGCGCGAACTCCTTCACGTCGAAGCTGAGTTCCCCGTTCTCGGAGGTCAGGCCCTCGGTCTGGTGGATCAGGTGCACGATCTCGCGCATGGCCGGTGAGGGCAGCTTAGCGAAGAGCTTCTGGATGCTGCGCCGCTCCACGTCGCTGACCGACTCCGCCGGGTTCTCGATCTCCTCGTCAGAGGAGTCATCGCCCTCCACAACCAGCAGGCTCTTCAACTCCGCGGCGGAAAGGAGGTCCAAGGCAGGCACCACCACCCTTTCGACATGTGGCTCGTTTTGGCTGCTGCTGTTGAGGGAGAAGGGCACGACCTTCGCTGGCTTGGCCGGTTCCATCTTTTCCTTCATTTTGTCCAAGGACTCGCAGAGGACCTCCACTAGGCTTCGTGCCTTCTCGGGCTCCCACAGGCACTGTGGCTGAAGGCATTGCTTCAGACCGGCCTCCGCCAGCTTGGCCGTCTTGAGGACTTCGTTGAGGTCGGACTGTGTCAGCCCGGGAATGCCGCCCTCCTCTGCTGAGGAATTCCAGCCTCCCGGTTGATCGAATGCCTTCTCGTAGATCATCTTGGCCGGGTCGTGGTACTTCTTGAAGATGCCATCCACGTGCGAGCGGAACTCCTCGACGGTCTTGAAGTAGTGCTTGTCCAGCTTCTTGTGCAGCGAGTCCCACTTGGAGTTAAAGAAGTTGCGGGCCGTGGTGTCCGCCTGATTGGTGAATACCTGTAGCTTTTTGAGCTGCTCCCGACAGAACTGCTCCGTCTCGGCGGGAGCGGCCACCACCTTAGAGCTTACTCGAGGCTTGGTCACCGCCGGGGGATCTTTGTCCTTGGCGCACGGTATCTCTGGCCCGTCCGGCATGTTCCTCATCCTTTTCTGAAAGAACTTCTCCAGCATCTGGCCCTTGCGGTAGACCACGTCCCCCGGTCGGTTGAAGGTGAAGCAATTTCCGATAATCAGGCGGAAGTCGATGATGGCCTCTTCCACCGACCAGTAGTAGTCGTTGTGGACCCGCTTAATAACGGTGATAATGTCCATGGGTTGGTCTATGACCGAGTAGTACGAGGGCACCTGCAAGACCTCCGTGTCCACTGGCTCCATGAAATCTAGGGCGAATTTCTTTTTGCAAACCTCGTCCAGCACATGCTTCTTGAAATAGTGTATCTTGTTCGTGTACCTGCCGAACCTGCCTGGCGGAAGGATGACCTCCGGCTGGACGCGGTTGGGCAGCCTTAGCTTAAGGGATAAGGGCTTTTGTCCATCCTGACAAGAAGGAAGAGACTTTTGAGGTCTTAAAAGCTAGATTCGTGGGTACTTACCATGATCTACAGATATACAAGGTTCTTAAAAGTTTTCTTTTTCCAATAATTGAGATTTTCCCAAAGAGTCTTTTCGCTTGGATTTCTCAACAAAATGTTCTTGCTGGAAAGTGCATTTCTTTGACAGAAGCCTTTAATTCCAGGCCTACTGCCATTTGGCCAACACTGCTTCCCAGAAGTGTTGCACAACTTTTACGGCCGATTGCCATTTTTCTTGCCAATCGGAAAATGGAAAATCCGTGGCAGGAATGTTGGGAAACTAAAATCAGTGGCACATCAAAGGAAACAATAGCCCCGCCCAACTGGCAGCCAGCCGCCCTTGTCTAATATTTTGCACCACTTCACAGGCTTTCCACCGGCTGCCAGGGCCACCCCCGCCACACTGTCCTCCATTGCCACTCCATCCATCTTCCACAGTGCGGCAATGGGACATAAAAACTGCTTTTTGCAATTTACATCAACATTTTTAACAACCGCCACCCCTAGTAAGGTGGCAGCAACAACAACATGCTTTTCCTATTTGCATACATATGTACGTGTGTCCCATAAATACGGAGAGGCACGCCCCTGTCCTCTGTCCCCTGTTCCCTGGCCCCAGCCTTCTGGTGAATGCCTCCCAACTACCACTACCACCTGGCAGCCTCCTGCGTCTTTTTGCGCACTTAATTACACACGCATACGCTTCATTCCACTTTGCGGCGAGGCTGTCCGGGTGGTGCCACACCACCCACCCCTCCCACTGGGGCACCGCGGTGGGACAGGCCCGAAACGGAAATAGAAAGATGCCGGAGGAATCTGGCTAAATGGAGGTCACTATAATGAGGTAAATCAATAGAGGAAATTGGTGCAAAGCAACGATGGAATTAAACTTCCAACCTTAAAGTTTTCTTCCGTAAATTCCATTCGATTATAAAGTAAAAGTACAGTCCTTCAAGGACTCTGCTTGCACTGCAAGTTCAATTCTCCTTAGTCCACTATAAGGACACTTACAAAAGAAAGACTCACGCAATCGGGAGACGCAGGATGCAGGTCCTGCCAAGTTCCTACCTGCCCGAAGGTGTCAATGTTGCCTTATCATCCCGGGACCGAGAGTCCTCCTCGTCCATTATTCTTTCAACTTTATCTCTGACGGCGATTAATGCGAATAAATTTTATAGTCGAAAATGTGCACTCGCATGTCTTGTCCTTTTTTTCTGTTTTTCTTTCGGACCTTTCCCCCCGACTCCTGTCCTGCCCCGACCCCGACTTTTCCTTTTGGCCAATGTTTTCCTACTGACTCTTGTTGGCCATTGTTGAGGAGTATGTGACTTTTGGTGTTTGTCTTCGGCACCTGCAGCCGCCGTCCTGCCGATCGTTAATTGTTATCCCGAGTCCCCCGATCCCCGCTTACGCGATCTTGCAGCTCTCAGGGACTGGAGTAGGATCCCCTGTTTATTTTTTAGCAATTGCTGACTCACAATCAACCAGAAATCCTCAGCCCGAGACTCTCAATTAGGATGGGCTTGGAATGGAAACAGGTCCCCGAAACAGGTACAGGCTGCCCATCATCAGGCTGGGAAAAGTATCTACAAGATGCTGGAAACTGGTTTTTCCATTTTCTAGCTGCGACATTGTTTGCTGTTGCGATGTGTTGCAACCTTGGGCGATTTCTGACTTTTCCTTTGATTTCGATTTGATATCACAATGGATGCATCTCACCCGGACAAAGGGTGAGACCTTTGGCTGTGGGAACGCCGCGAGTCCTGGCCCAAGGACAAAGGCCAGATCGATAGTGATCGCGGCGAGAAAAAGATGCAGGTTTACCTTCCCAGTTTTTCAGTTTTGAGGGGCGGGCTGGGGGCAGACGGCGCACCCACACTCACGCACTATTTATGGACTTCCGCTGGCGGGAATGGCGGAAAAGCTATCTACTCGCTCACTTTATTCGCGCCGGCCGCTCCCTCCCCCTCGACAGAAACGACCCGAAAAGCGAGTCAATGACCCTGGAAAATGGGAAACCCGGAGCGCACAAGAAGCCAGAGAATGGAGAACGGAGCAATGTTGCAATTGCAATTCACCAGAAACACAAATTTATCAGCCCGCATCTTGGTCAATAAAGGGAAATTGATTGAGAAAATTGTGAAAATAAATTGGTAGCGTGAGTGGTGAAAGTCGGACAATTAAATAGCAAACAAATTTCCGCCAATTATTTGACATTAATTATGATCCATCAGCCAGGGAATGGGGGTACTTAATCCAGGGCCAGGCTCAAAGGGTTTTCTAGGTTTTGGCGGAGAACGCCATGCTGGTCCTATCAGATCACCCATGAATCTTAATCAGCGAAGCCTTCGGTTATGGTGGCTTGCTTTTCGCCACTTTCCCAGGCTTTTCCAGGTTCTTTTTTCGAGTCTCGGCGAATCACAATTTTATGTAAATATCACCATAACCTGGTGATTAATGGTCTTCTTACTGGAAATTACAATATCATGGATCGATTTTGTTCCCTATCCCCTGCTTTTTTTATGAAAATATTTACCAAGAATCGGGTATAGAGTCTTTCCGTGCATAATATCCATTCGTGCGTAAATCTGTCAAGCGCTTCTTGGGGCCTCAAGAGTCAATGACTTTGGGGCACCACCGAAAAAAACGCATCTGCATGGCGGTGCAATGGCCGGCCCAAAACGCCAATCGACCAAGACGCTGTTGCCGTTGCTGTTGCTGCTGCCCCACCCCTTTCAGGCATACCCCGCCCTCGGTTTTCTAACCAATTAAGCCATGAGAAGCTGCTGCCCCAAAATGCAATCAAAGAAGGCTGGAGGAAAGCAAAAACCTCAAAATGAAACATTTTTCTTGAGCCCCTGCCCCGACTCAGGCCGCGAGCCGAAAAAAACGCATTACGCGATGAAGAAAATCGGGTTTAGGCCTACCTGTGCAGGTTTTGGCCCCCCTCTACTACCAAAAAAAAATAAAGCGGCCGCAAAAAACCAACACAAGAGCCATAACACAAAAAAAACGATCATCGCAGTCAGGCGAGAGTCGTGAAAATGTTTTTCTTGGCTGGCAGTCAGCATCTTGCAGGGGAAACGGCCGAAAAGTCAGCAAGTCTTAGGCTCGGACCCGCCGGACCAGATTCCATATCGCCGGGGGCCGGGGTGAGGGGATTACACACTTTGTGCATTTGCCGAGCCCGGGCCGCTAAGTAGAAGGCCTGACCTCGCCGCGAACCCTTGCCCGGGACCCCGAGATAGGATACACTCCAGAAAACTTTCTAAAACTCTTGGAGAATCTTTATTGTAATGTCTTCAATCATTTTATATCGGGAGATTTATTTTTTCCAGTGTACTTGTGACTTTTTATGGGTTGACAACTTGTAGGCGTATTGAATCACCGAGGGCGGGGGTTCATCAATTGGGAATGGTAATGGGCCCGGGTTTGGGACTGGGATTGAACCTCGGAATCGGGATTGGGATGCACATTTCAAATGTGCAGCGATCTGCAGCGGCTGATAAAAAAAAAAGAGTCCGGAGTCTGGAGTCGGGAGTCTGGAGTCTGGAGGAACCTGTTTTATGGCCAAAAACAAAAATAACAAAAAAAAAAGAAATAAAGAAACGACAAAATGAAATGCATAAACGTAAATCTCGCAGCAGGTAGTCCCCGAAATGGAGTTGGATGGAGATCAAGTGGTGATATTTTAGCTGGCCAATACGACCTGCAACATTGCGTGGCATCGATGATGACTTTTCCGTCGCACTGGCGACAATCAATTTCTCAATTTTCGAAAACGCTCCAGATTGCACCTCCTGATTGTCCTGTCTGCACATTTTATGCACTCCCTCGAGTCCTTTGAGGCACACAACTGCGCACTTGATGTCGCCAGGTGTACGATGTGCATTATTGAATGGTTAATCAGGGGCAAGGTAATGCCAGGAGTAAGGGTTGGCCCTTCGTGCTTGGGGGAGTTTTCCATTTTTCCCATGCCAGAGCCAAAGGGTTTTCCTTCATATTGCATATCATTTCATCTCTGACTGATCTTGAGCGATGGATGCACTTGCCTGTAAAGCAAATATTTGCATCACTGCGGGGATCTCTGAATCTTTCTTTAGATTTAATCTGCGGTTTGGGAAAGTGTGTGAAAATAGTTATTCGCCAGCACCAGCAGATTTCCCTTCTTTTTTTTTGTGTTTTTAGATCGCAAATTGGTAGTCCTGCGGGTCAAAGGTTGCCCTTGCGGTTGCCAAAAGCGGGCTGTGTTAAAGAATACGCTATTTTGGAATTTGGAAAAAGTATGTGAATGAGTGACTAAATAGGCGGATGGACAGAAAAAAAGTCCCACTCTGAGAAGTGCACCCAAATTGTTATCGCAAACAGCCGGATCCGAAATATTCGTTGGCACAGCACCGAAAAAGTTCATTGACTTTCGCATGCAACACACTACTCGTCGTACATACACCGCCGTCTCTCCGGAGTCCGGACAGAAATAAACACCCAAAAGAGCAAACTCCAAAGAGTGCACACACAACATGAAAAAAAAAACGAAAAAAAATAAAAATTACATTAAAGTGAAAATGAGCGATAACAACGCGATCCGCACACACAAATGCAAAAGATACAGATACAGCAATGGGCGCTGGCACAGATACAGATACGCAGTAATGGCGGAGCGCAGCACAGCGCCACCAGCAACAGCAAACAGCAACGTGAACGGCAGTGCCACCCCACCCCCTTTTATGGCTCCCCTGCCCCCAATAAAACTGCACGGCCAACGCAGCCATATTTTTTTCGTTTTCTTGTTCGTTTTCGCTTTGCCAAGATCGCTGTCTCTCCCTCTCTCTCTCTCTCTCGCTCTTTGTGCCCAAGTGCAGTGTATAACAGTTTTCGGGGAGCTCTCTTGCGGTGGGGTTGGGGGAGTGGAAAGCAGCGGGGGCTATGTTGGGGATAGATCTTTCTCCTTTTGCTTGCAAGTCTGCATCGCATCAGAAAAGTATGCTACAGTTGCTGGTTTCCGGTTACTTGGCTGCACTTTTTCTTCATATCTTGTTGCATACTTTTGGGCTAACTCTT